TTTATCTGGTTTCTAGTTTGGAAGATTAAAATGCTTTATGAATGCTCTGAAAATACAATTATCTGAATCTCCAGCATCATGTCAAGTACTCGATGGCTGCTGGCTCAGACATGAAGGGGCTGTTGCCTGGAAAAGTTGAAGGTTAACAGCATGGGAGACATTTTTCCATGAGGGTCTGACTTCCTGCAGGAAATAAAACCTGTTCTTGGCATGTCAGTGTTGCCCATTTCAGGTATACTTCTCTGACCGTGCTTTTTTAATAGCAAAATCCTTGGAAGGAGAGAAAAGTACTTGCGCAAAGTGATTACTACTTGGCATTATACATTTCTAGAAGATCGTCACGTACCAGGTGATGAAAGTGGCTTGAGAGATGTAAGTGAACGGGAGGGCTGATATTATTTGGGCACGCTGAAGTTCTGTTACCAAGTACACCTTATCTTTTACTGCTTTTTTTGGATGGAAAGCCTGCAGGTATTTCAACAGGTGATAATGTTTAAAATGTGAACAGTCTTTGAAGCCATCAACTGGCATACAGTTTATGCATTACTGGGAGAGACAAATGAAGTTAGTGGAGCTGAGGTGTTGAAACCACGTTTGTTGATGTTAAGGCTCAAGCTACACATCAGATGAGGTAAGTTTTCTGAGTGCATAAATACTGTGTAAAGGTAGTATGCCAAACTTATGTATGAGAAATATTCGTTTGCAAATGCCTTTGGCTTACCTCTTCACCTACTGCTCAGCTCTGATAATATGTTGGGGTAAAGCATTGCAAGAAGTTTAACAAAATGCTGTCTTTCTATAGCAAAGTCAAACTAGACCAAGAAGCAAGTCTGGAGGAGTCTGTTGTGAGACTTAGATGTTTAAAACGTAAAAGATACTGTTTGTGGGTTGTTCAGAACAGTATGATGAGTATTTCACGTGTCTGTCTCTAGATAAGCCAATGTTGCTTCTGTATTAAAGAACACTGAATTTGTGTGAAGTGGAAAAACCTATCATAATCTTATAGGGTAAAGCAGCAATTATGAAAACGAAAAAAGTAGCTTTTTTTCTTGGCTAAACTTTGGTGTGATTATTGAACAGCAATGTGACTTACAGAATGCCAGCTGCTGTGACTTGTGGAGGCCTATAAGTGGTTTTTCTTCCAAAGTTACTGGAGAGTGACAGGACTTGTGGTGAGCTGTTGTGCACCATTCCAGAAGATCTGCATTAAAAACTTGTTGTTAACCATAATGGGACATCACATCATAAATAGCTGTAATTAGATGCCAGGTATAGGAGAACCACTTTTAAAGTAGATATTTTTATCAAAAATACAGAAAGAAATAATTTGTAAGTGTCCAAGTCAATGGGAGAGTCTTTAACTTGGCATGTGATTACTGTGAAAGGTATAGTAACCTGGCAGTTCTTTACTGCTTTTATCCTCTTTCTGACTTTGTTTTTGAAGGGACAGTACTTAAATAGTTTCTTCTTCAGAGTGGTCCTGGCTGTCAAAATTTGTCATGTTTGGCATCTTAAACTTATTATTGTCTTGTGGAATGTTCTTGTAGGAATCTCCCTACCTGATTGAAAAACATTCCTTGAACAGCCAGCTGAAAAGGGTCCCTCCAGTGCTCCCAGCAGCAGTGAGGGGCTTCTAAAAGTTTTGCCAAAACCTAACAAGGAAAAACCTCTCTGTAAGAACCACCCACCACAGGGACCTATTTGCCAAAACCTAACAAGGAAAAACCTCTCTGTTAGGTCCCTGTGGTGGGTGGTTCTTAAACTTCACCAGTGTGTTGTGATGCAGGAGTGAGCCTTTGGATGTTGATGAATCCACAAGAAGGAACCCTGTATTTGTGCAGTAAACAAGCCAGGAAAAGTTTGCTTGCAGTGCCCGGTTTCCCAAGTGTCTCCTCAGTAGTGTCAGATGATTGTCAAATACTTAGGCAAATAAAATCAAGCTGGATTCTGGAAGGTGATCGTTTGTGTTCATTTGTTCATTTCAGGTAGTTTCAGATTCAGACATGCTGCAAGTGTGTTAACCTTGACTTCGCTGGCTCTGCTGTAGTCAGCCACTGTTAGAGTGAAAATTACAGATTTTCAGAGACCTCTGTGGACGGTGCATCCTGGCTCCTACAGGTATCTCTTCAGGACCACAGCATAATGCAGAGGCCGTGTATACCCTCTGTCCTCCTGAACTCTGGTGTTCCTTGCCTAACAAATGGGTAGAGATTCTGGGTGGCAGAATTCTGGAGACTAGTAAACAAATTCAGTACTACATGTAGTAAAAGTTTAATAATAAAGCTGAGCTGCTTCACTTAAGTGATCTGCTTTAAGCCTTCTTCGAGTCAGTCTGCATGACTTAATCAATATGCAAGTATGTGTGGCTGTATGTGTAACAGTCCCCTAGACAGACTTGTGTCCTCAGCTGGTCAGTAGGTTTTATCCTTCCTGAGTGTTCTTAAAATGCAAAATGCCTTCAGTAAGGCTCTGATCTTCTCCCAGAAGTCAAGAATAATTAATTGAGAAGTTCGTCTGTGGACTGACAGGGGAAAGAAGTGGCCCCTGGTTATAAAACTTACTAATAAGTACTTTCATGTTTACAATTAATCTTAAGTGAGTCTTCAAGTGTGAATGAGCTCTAAATTGGTAGCAAATGCTTTCTTCTGGTTCTTTAAATATGTATGTTGCAGTGACGAGTCTTCATTTGTGCTTGAGGAGACTTGCTAGTCTACCTAACTTCATATGTGCAATGTGCTTGCTTTATTCAAGCAAGAAAATTATTTGTTTAGGTAACACTTTTATTGCCTTAGTGATTAGCTTTATGTTAAAGCATGAGAACACAGTTTTATTTTGATGCTTCACTTTGCAATTTGGCTCACCTGAGGGGTTGCTATCCTAATAAGGGTAGGAAGGTAAAACAGAAAAGTGTTTTGTGCAAGTAGTACAATCTGTTTCTTTATTCTGCCCCTTTACTCTGGTCTTCCTCTGCTGCACCCTCCACCTAGGTTGCATGCCTCTACTGTATTCCAAAAGCACTGAACAGCATGGTGATTAACACCAAACCATAAAATAGATGTAGAATGACCAATGCTGCCAGGAATGTGGCATTCACTTAATGACAAAAAAGTAGTTGTATGTTTGCATCTCTCTTACAGTGATGGTGCTTAGCTTCTGCTGCAGGTTTGATGTGCAGCAGAGGTTGTATTGGAATAAGAAAAGCTTCTTAATAAAAGGATTGCTGTCTTTAAGACAACATTTGTACAAGAAATCCTATATGAGGAATAAAACTGCCCAGCCTTGTTAGCATTGTTTACTTCCTCATTTAAATGTGTTTGACTGAAAATTCATGGGAGACAGGTAAAGAGTGGGAATGCTGTGATATAATCTAGTAAACCTCATGTTCTGCTCTCACTGATTTAATTAAACTCCATGTTGTGGTGTTCTGTGATTGAATGTTCTGAAATAATCAATTCTTGTAACTGCATTATCTGTCCTTGTAGCAGAAGTTCACTATTTAACCTTTTCAGAAAGAAGCTTTTGCCTTGAAGACTAGATGGAAATGGAATATAGGCTTATAGATGCTGCCAATGTGTTGTAGTTTAACTCCAGCTGGCAACTAAGCCCCACACAGCTGCTTGCTTACTCCCCCCCAGTGGGATGGGGAGAGAATCAGAAGAGTAAAAGTGAGGAAACTCAGTGTGGTGAGATAAAGACAGTTTAGCAGGTAAAGTAAAAGCCATGTACAAGCAAAGCAAACCAAGAAATTCATTCCCTGCTTCCCACAGACAGGTGCTCGGCCATCTCCAGGAAAGCAGGGCTCCATCATGTGTAATGGTGACTTGGGAAGACAAATGCCATCATTCCAAACATCCCCCCTTCCTTCTTCCCCAGCTTTATATGCTGAGCATGACGTCGTATGGTGTGGGATGTCCCTTTGGTCAGTTGGGGTCAGCTGTCCTGGCTGTGCCCCCTCCCAACTCCTTGTGTACCCCCAGCCTGCTTGCTGGTGGGGTGGGGTGAGGAACAGAGAAGGCCTTGACCCTGTATAAGCATTGCTCAGCAGTAACAAAAACATCTGTTATCAACACTGGTTTTGGCATAAATCCAAAACACAGCCCCATACTAGCTATTACGGAGAAAATTAACTCTATATCAGCCAAAAATAGCCAACAAAGAAAGTATTCTGCCACATCACTTCTACTTGAATGTGGAGCCAAACCTGCTGTGTTCCATGTGTTGAATTTCAAATTACAAGATACCTTACAAAATTGACCTTATTGTTAAGATCATGGCTGTTGTGTTTAACACTGTTTCAGAGTAGTCTTACTCTGTTTATGTGCTTACTGGTGGTACTTTGAGATGTGACAGTACTGTTAATTCTGCAATTTGATAATAGATGTTTTTAATATTGTAATTCAGTAACTAAAATTTTATGTCCCCTTGTAGCACAAACAGTAAGGCTTAAACTTCACTGATGCTGGAATGTGTTTTTGAGGCTCAGGTTACAGAAAATTTCAGGAACTTCAGATTCACAACAACATGGGATATTCAGCACACAAGATCACTTGCTGATTTTATATGTACAGTAAATTAAATTATTGGTTGTCCTAATACAGGAAACGGAATAGAGCAAGAGTTAAGGAGTAACTTCTTTAATATATTTTTTCCATTGTGGAAGTAAATGGAGCTGATAGACCTGTAGTTGCTGAAAACTTGAGGTTTTACGTAGAGTTTGCCCTTAAAGGTAGATTAGGGAATCTTACCCTGCTTTTGTGAAAGAATTGAAAAAGAAAAATCTCTCTTGGAGCACAGAGGAAGTGAGAAAAGGTCATTTTATGTTACTGACTTTAAAATAACAGAAGGCAAGCAGACTGCATCTCTGGGAATGATGATTTTGGTTTTTATATACACATGTACCTTGCAGTGCTTGCTGAAGTTGAAGCACAACCATTCTTGTTTGCTGTCCATACAGTTGCTTTGGGCTGAATTCTTGCTTAGCATTTTAAGTAATGACTTGCTGGTTGTGTACCCTGAGCTTAAAATCTTTATTGTTGTGTAGGAAGGGCTAGGGAAAAGTGGCTGTGTAGCTATGTTGTCTTTACGTTAACGTTGGAGATTTGGACAAAATTTAAGGTATTTATTATTCCTTAAAGGTGATATATGACTGAGGTATCTTAGAAAATGTTTGTGTGCTAGTGCCACTGAAGGCCCATATATCTTTTGTGTTGCTGTGGTCACTGTTACTACTAAAGTTATAGTAGTGTTTTTGAAAGTACAAGTAGTTCAGCTTTTTAAAGGTGGCCTTAGGAAAGTTGAAATAGGTTTTCTTTTTTCCCCTTGCATTCCTTTGCCTGAAGCTGTGCTTCCACAGACCTCATTCTGGTGAGTGGCAGAGGGAAGACAAGTCAACTTTGGGAAACTCCTGCATGGGGGGAAGATGAGCGAAGAAGGTAGGTGTAGATTGTGGAAGGTGTGTAGTACTCTTTACCCAGGACTAGGTTCCTTGTAGATGTATGACCCTGCAATGATTCTCTCAGTGCATCTGAGTGAAGAATCTGGGACCGAAAGAAAATCGGTATCATTCCTGTCCTCAAAAGAGCAAGAAGGAAGATCCAGGGAACTACAGGCCAGTAAACTTTATCTTGATACCTGGGAAAGTGATCTTGGAAACTATTTCCAAACCTGTTGAGGACTAGGAAGTGTTTGGGTGTAGCTGACAAGGATTTAGAAAGAAGAGATCATGCCTGACCCACCTGATGGTCGAAAGACTGGATTGATAGAGGAGGGAAGAGTGGTGGTTGTTTATCTAGACTTTAGTAGGACTTTCCACGCTGTTTCCAGTAGCATCTTCATGGACAGAGTGGTGAAGTAGAGGGTGGAGAAACCCACAATGAATTGGTTTGAAAACTGAACTGATGGGCCCAAAAGGTTGTGTCTAGCAACAGAAAGTCCACCTGGAGGCCAGTCAGTGGTAGCATACTCAAGGAGGGGTAATAGTGGGGCCAATGCACTTTAATGTTTTCATTAATGACCTGGGCATTGGGACAGAGTGCATCCTCAGCAAGCTTCCAGATGGACCAAAGCTGGGAGGAGGAGTGATTGATGCACTGTAGGCCTACAGGAACCCAATGAAATTCAACCAAAGGGGATGCCAAGTCTTGCACCTGGGAGGAATGACCCCATGCACAAGTACAGTCTAGGGACAGCTTTGCTTTCAGCTTAGTGATCCTTCCCCTCAAGTCAGCCCTGGTGAGGTATATCGGGAGTGCTGGGTACAGTGCTAGGCTCCCCAGTGCAAGAGAGAGTTGGTCATACTGGAGTAGGTCCAGCATAGGACCATGAACATGATTAAAGGACTGGAGAATCTCTCATACAAGGAGAGGCTAGATGAGCTGGGACTGCTGAGCCTAGGGTGGAGAAGGGGGATCTTGCTCACATAGAATCATGTAGATTGAAAAAGACCTTTAAGATCATCTAGTCCAACTGTTAACGCTGCCAAGTCCACTGCTAAACCATGTCCATTAGTGCCATGTCAAATAATATATATAATATAATACCTGATGTGGGGAGTAGAGAAGATGGAGCTGGATTTTCCTCAGTGTTGCCCCATGTGACAGGACAAGAGGCAGTGAGAGCAAGCTGAAAGACATGAAACTTCATAGAGTGTAAGAAAACACTTTTCATTGTGCTGGTGGTTGAACCCTGGAACAGGTTACCCACACAGAGACAGTGGAGTCTCAATCTGTGGAGACAGCAAAAACCTGACTGCTTGTGGCTCTAAGCAGCCTGCTCTCGAGCCCCCTCTGAGCAGGAGGCTGGATGAGACAATCTCTAGAGGTCCTTTCAACCTCCACTGTTCTGCAGTAGCTACCTGACCTGGCTGTGCCAGGGGGATGTACACAGAATTGAATTTACATAGAAAAATCAGACCTCAGGTGAATTACAGGCTTGCTCAGGGGATATGGTCACATCATTGGCTTAAGCACTTTTTACCCTTCCTTCCCACTCCTTTTTATGTCAGCACTAGCTCTTAAAATACATGTTGTAAGTTGGTTTTGGATGCTTCCCACATCACCCTCTTATCCCCTCAAGTTGAGTCTGGTGCATGAGCATAAAGGAGGAGGTAGGAATGAGAGAGGGTAGGAGTGCTCTGTGTGACGGCAGTGCAGTTTTAGCTTGGCATCGGTCAACACAGGAAAACAGAGTTCAGTCCCTAGTCAGCTGGATGCCTTGGGGAAGAGATGGCTGGTAGCTGTGGAGCATGCATGGGGAGGGAAGAGGCAGGTTGCATTAATTTGTGCAGAACATTGAAAGAGAGGAGAGGTGATAATTGCAAGAAGAATGTATAGTATTTAGCTGGGTATAAAAGGAAAAAAACTATTGTGCTTTCAGAAATGCTACAAATACTGCATTAAAGACTTTTGGTGTCTGACAAACAGATTTGTTTCTCTGATGTGGGTGTGTTTTGTGTGTATTCCTCTTGGCAGCCTGGACTGATGTAAAGGTGGCAGTAGTGCAGCAGAAGAATGGGGGTTGAATTCTCTCATTGGTAGCTGGATATCTCTAATACTGTGAGAGCTCTTTCTCATTCATGGTTGTTTGACCCTTGATTTCCAAAAGGACACTTACATGGACCAGGTGACTTACATTGGCTGGTGATTCCATGGATGTGCCAGTAAGTTCATGCACTTGCTGTTGTGGCACAGTATAGCTTGATTCGCCTGTATTCACTATATAGCTAGAAGCCCTCAGAGTGGGAGGCGGGGGGGGGATGTTCTGTGGAAACTCTTTAGGAAAAAGCAGCCTTCTACTCCTAACCTTCTGTAATACAGAATAACAAAATGGAGTAAGTACACAGGGAAACTTGATGATCGGTTTTCTCATGGGTGGGTGAACTGCAGATGACTATTGCTACCCAGTGCCCCTTTCTTAAGCCCCATGGCATGCATGATTTGCAGACATCTGTGTGTAAGTCAACATGATGAGGTTGACTCTCACAGGTGCAAATTGATAGGAAGAAATCATTTTAGTGTAGATTTCTGCTTCCTGCTGGTTTTTGCTTTCACAGAACTGGCAAGGACAAAACAACGGATTCTTCCTGTGTGGGATGTTAGACAGGAGACTTCCAAACTTAATATCTGGGAGGTGTGTATTATTGAAGCCAGTTGTTTTTCATTTGCATCTGTTAACATGTTGAGCAAAAGCCACCTTCTTTGTCCTGAGGAGTAATGAAAGCAGGGGGTTTGGGGTGTGCTTGGAGTGGGTGCTTTTGTTCTTGTGAGACGTGGGTTTATTTACCTAGTCACTGTTGAAGGTAAATGACCAGTTTAGGCAACTGTTGTCATTCTGAACTCTTAGTTGAGCCTGTGACACTTCTGTAGAAACTTCTCTGGGTAGTGTTTCGAACACTGGCATGCTCCGCACACTCATTTTCCATGTGGGCAGATGCTTTTAACCAGGACACAATTCTTCCTAAGTTTTCAAGTTGTAAGAAAGATTGCCATGCAGGAGTTGATGATGACTAAATGGTAACCTATTATCTGCAAATTATGATGTATTTCTCTATACTCTCATGTATGGGAGAGAGGGGGAGCTAGCAGGATGAAGCTGTTGGCTTTCCATAAACTGTGGTGACTTTTGTATTTTTTTATTACTTCTCCGTTAGTTTCGTGCCTAAAGGAAATCTAGGACATGTGAGATGCAAGCACTGGAGCCTGAAGTTTCTCCTCGGCTCTGGATTTTAAAATTTATGAACGCTTTGCTCACTAAGCATTTCTGCAACACACCCCTTATTCTGGATTTTTTCATGATTGAGATATGATATTGGCATTGGAAAAATGCCTCAGATTAGTCTATGAATCAGAGGGACCCCTGTACACCTACCAACCTGGCTATTGTCTTTCCAGTAAGCAGTGGTGGAGGGAGGCACTGAGTGGCCTGACTTGACTCTGGTGGGCTTGGTGCCAGAGCAGTCAGGTGTGCTGCTGCAGCAGGTTGAAGGCCCAGCCTTCTGATGCTCTCCTCTTTAACTGCCCTGGGACCTCACCTAGCTAGAAATTAATCTCTTCTCGGATGTGTTCCCTTCATCACTTGTGCCTGACACCCTCCCACTTTGTCTCTGCGTATTTCCTTTTCCTGTGGGATTTTTTTAAGAATTAGAGTTGGTGGGTAGAGTGTGAGAATTTCAGACTTCCACAACACAATGACTTTTAATATATTGAAATTATTAATTTAAACAGCTCTGAACTGAAACAATATTTTAGACATTCAGGTTGCTGTTTACTATTAGTGTATTCTGCATTTTGGCCCCTAATGTACACTAACTCTTTAATGTGTTCTTAATGAAGCAGTTCACTTAATTTGATTATTTTTTTTTTCATCTTTCTCTACTGGAAGATTAGCTGCCAAGGGAAAAATACATCAGATATGCAGAAGCATATGTAAGTGCTTTGATGTGTCCTATTGTTTTGGTAATGTTACATTCTCACTTGCTAGAGGAAATGATTCAAAATCAGGGTAAGAAAAACTTGGAGTCAGAAATGGGGTGAATATTTCCAAATGAGAGATAATCTGTTCCCATAGCTTATCAAGATTTTTGTCAGTCCTTTGGTATGAGGAGGTCTTAAACCCGCATATTTTTAAAGACAGTCTGGCTCAATAGCAGATTACTGAGCTCAGTGTTGGAGTATCTGGGTGAAGCTAGTCAGTGTTACATGAGGCCAGACTGGATGCTTACAGTAACTCTGGACTTCGAGCTGTGCTCATGTTCACAGATCACTGCCAAATAATGGCTGCTTCGCTGCTGAAATTTCAGGGGAATGTCTGCAACTGCTGCAAGTCAACTCTTCAAGTGTGTTGGGATTCTAATGCCCCATCAAGCCAGATAGTTGCAAGTCAACTCTTCAAGTGTGTTGGGATTCTAAAACTATCTGGCTTGATGGGGCATTAACTCTCTTGAAAAATATGTGTATCAAATCTCGCACACAGCGTTTTTGTTTCTGTTCTCTAGAGTTGAAACTCTGGGCTTTTCATTCCTTCTGGCAAATAATTATGAAACACAATGGTATTTCATGCTTGATAACCAGAGTTTGTTTCCTTTGTCCCTGAATAGCAAAAAAACCCCAAACCACCCCACCAAAAAACCTACTTGAATTAACATTCTGATGTAGATTCAAGGATGTTCATACTGTTCTAATCATCATTGCCTTTTTTGCTTACCACTGCTTGATAATAGTGTATCTGAGCTTGGAGTGAGGTGGTGGCAGCTGGATTTGAGTGAAAGATCCTGAGATTGCTGAAACTTCCTGACGCCTTCAAGCAACCACTGATGCCTCAAACATTTTAATGAGGAGTCTCCAACTTGGAGAATTAATTAGCCCTCCAAGGCAAATCTTGTGTGGTATAACCAAAAGGAGACCTGATGAAAGAGCATGTTGTTGTTTTAATTTCCTAAAGTTAATCACATAATAGGAAGAACTCAGTCAGGCTTGTGCCTGGCTGCTTAGCAAAGAAATCTGCTGTTGAATGATGAGCAGGTTGTGAGGGATTAGTATGTTCATGGAGCAGAAAAATATAACTGATGATTTGTCCTGCAGTCTCTGCCAGGACACGCCTAGCAGGAATCCTTGACACTGTTGAGAGCAGATAGGCTAAATGTAGTATGAGCAGTTCTTCCAGAGTCTGTTCTCCATCTTACTACTTCAATATCCTGCATGAGCTGCAGAAGTGAAGTTGGTCTGTGGGTTAGTTGCATCCTAGTTCAGTTGGGCTTCATATTAACTTGCTGGCTTGTAAGGGTATAGTATACATCATTATACAGAGTTCTTGTCCAATGTGGTGGTGGCATAAGAAGTAAGTAAAGGAAGGAAATGAGCATGGGTTTTGTAAACGATGAGGGGAGAGGTAAAGGAGTGGGGTAAGGAAGCAAATACCAAGTAAGAAGAAGGGACCACATGTCTGAACTGACAAAAACACTTTGAATGTACTGGCTTTGGAGCAGCTGCTCCTATCTTCACAAAAGGAGTGCTGCTGCATGCCAGAAGCTGCAAGTTTAAACTGAGCAGTACAAAGTTCCCTTCCCAGTGCAAAGCTCCAGAGACTGGAACCAGTTCCAGAGACTGGAACCAGTTTAAGTGGCTCCAATTATGGCCCCACTTATTTTATGCTTTTAATGGCCCCAAAACATCATGTTGGCTTGATTGTTGACCCACTTATTACTACTGTAACCATGGTTACTGGGCAGATAAACTGTGTATTCTGAACCTTAATTGTCTGCACCCTGGTGGTACCTGACTGATGCTGGATACGAAGTATAAAAACTTACTGGTACAAATGATGCAGACTTTGACAGGAGGGTAGGGAAGGCAAAAAGCTTCATGGTACTAGTGGACTGTCTGGGGGGCGTTTCATCAATGAGGGCAGAAATCGTCAATGATGATACCACTGAGAAGGGGCCAGCAATTAAATCATTCACTGTTGTCCAACAGAATATATTTTTTGTTGGTTCTATTTCCCCACAACTTGCAATATGGGGAATTAATGAGTGAGGTATAGAAAGTGAAAAGTAAATATTTATCTCGGAACATGCATTTAAGATCAGATAGTATGAGCAGTAAGAACCAGGATCCTTCCACTCTTATTTAATATCCTTGACAAAATATTGGGGAATTGGCTTGCTCTTGACTTTGTGTTGAGGATAATTAAAATAAATGCTTTCTGTTGTTTCAGTGTGTCTGGTTAAAACATACAGGGACAAACATAGGTTTCAAGTAATTAGGTTTTCAGCTTAGTCTACTGTGGAGTTGTGTAGAGATGATAGATGAGCTGAACTTTGTGATGTACTTGGTATAGATTTTTTTTTTGTTCGTTTGAAGCTTGTACAAATTGGTAGCATCCTGGAAACTGTTGCTGATTATGTCTGCAAGCTACACTTGCTGGTTTCAAAGGTGTATGCATTTGGGGGCAGGGAGTAGAACAAAATTTTCTTGGGAATAACTTATTAATAAGGTGGGGCAGGGGGGACAATGTGTCAGTACTGAAGCATTTAGTTATAAACCGTGCCTCCATAATGTGGAGGCAGTCATAAAGGGCAAAGGAGCCCAAGAAGGCTGGATGATCTTGAAGATGAAAATCCTGGAGGTGTAAGAGCAGGCCATCCCCATGTGCTAGAAGATGAGCTGGTAGAGAAGAAAATTGGCCTGGCTGAACAGAGAGCTTTGCCTGGATCTCAGAAAAAAGAGGAAAGTCTATGAGCTTTGGAAGAAGGGGCGGGCATCTCAGGAAGGCTATAAGGATGTTGTGAAGTCATGCAGAGAGCAAACTAGAAAGGGTAAAGCCCAACTAGAACTTAAATAGGCTAATTCTGTGAAAGATAATAAACTTTTCTATAATTATATTAACAACAAAAGGAGAGCTAAGGAGAATCTCCATCCTTTTTACTGGATGCAGGGCGAAACATAGTGAGAAAGGATGAGGATAAGGCTGAGGTGCTTAATGCCTTCTCCGCATTTAATAGTAAGTCTTTAATAGTAAGGTCAGCTGTTCTCTGGGTACCCAACCCCCTGAGCCAGAAGACAGGGACAGGGAGCAGAATGAAGTCCCCATAATCCAAAAGGAAATAGTTAGTGACCTGCTTAGCCAATTAGACATACACAAGTCTATGGAGCTGGACAGAGTCCACCCACGGTTACTGAGGGAGCTGGTGGAGGTGCTCACTAAGCCTCTTTCCATCACGTATCAGCAGTCCTGGATGACTGGGGAAGTTCCACTTGACTGTGGCACCCATCTCAAGAACGGCTGGAAGAAGGATCCAGGAAACTACAGGCTTGTTAGTCTGACCTGGGGGAGGTCATGGATCAGATCATTTTGAGTGCTATTGTACAGCATGTCCTGGATAACCAGAAAAAGGCCCAGTCAACATGGGTTTATGAGAGGCAGATCTTGCTTGACTAACCTGATCTCCTTCTATGACAAGGTGACCCGCTTAGTGGATGAGGGAAAGGCTGTGGATGTGGTGTACCTGGACTTCAGTGAAGCTTTTGGCACCATTTCCCACAGCATTCTGCTTGAGAAACTGGATGCCTGTGGCCTGGCCAGGCACGCTCTGTGCTGGGTAAAAAAACTGTCTGGATGGCTGAGACCAGAGAGTTGTGGTCAGCGGAATTAAATCCAGTTGGTGGCCAGTTAAAAGTGGTGTCCCCCAGGCCTCAGTTCTGGGGCCAGTTGTGTTTTATATCTTTATCAATGACCTGGACAAGGGGACTGAGTGCACCCTCAGTAAGCTTGGAGATGACACCAAACTGGGTAGGAGTGTCGATCTGCTCGAGGGAAAGACAGGCTGGATCAATGGGCCGGGGCCAAGTGTATGAGGTTCAACAAGGCCGAGTGCCAGGTCCTGCACTTGGGTCACAACAACCCCATGCAACGCTACAGGCTTGGAGAAGAGTGGCTGGAAAGCTGCCCGGCAGAAAAGGACCTCTGGGGGTGGTTGGTTGACAGCTGGCTGAAAATGAGCCAGCAGCGTGCCCAGATGGCCAAGAAGGCCAACAGCAATCCTGGCTTGTATCAGGAATAGTGTGGCCAGCAGGAGTAGGGAAGTAATCATCCCCCTGTACTCATCACTGGTGAGGTTGCACCTTGAATACTGTGTTCAGTTTTGGGCCCCTCATTCCAAGAAGGACATTGAGGTGCTGGAGCATGTCCAGAGAAGAGCAATGAAGCTGGTGAGGGTCTGGAGCACAAGTCTGATGAGGAGCAGCTGAGGGAACTGGGGTTGTTTAGTCTGCAGAAGAGGAGGCTGAGGGGAGACCTGATCGCCCACTACAACTGCCTGAAAGGAGGCTGTAGAGAGGTGGGTGTTTTATCTCTTTTCCCAAGTAACATGCGATAGGATGAGGGGAAATGGCCTCAAGTTGCACCAGGGGAGGTTTAGGTTGGATATTAGGAAAACTTTCTTTACTGAAAGGGTTATCAGACACTGGAACAGGCTGCCCAGGGAAGTGGTTGAGTCCCCATCCCTGGAGGTATTTAAAAGACAGGTAGATGAGGTGCTTAGGGACATGGTGTAGTAGTGGACAGGTATAGTTGAATGTGATGATCTTAAGGGTCTTTTTCAACCAAATGATTCTATGAATGTGTCAATGCCAGGTGATTTCTCTGGAGCAACTCTAAACTCTGGTTACATTATTGGCCTATTGCATGGCTGTAGTGGCTTAGTTATGTGTTTGTGAAGCAAAAATGACAATATCTGCCTCACTGGGACAGCCTGTAGATTAATATTTTGTCAGGTCTCCTCACTGACACTTACTGGTATGATAGTCTTTCCAGTTTTGTTACTATTCTGATAAGTGCAGCTTTAGCAGCATCATGCACTAACTTGCCTCGTGAATTCCAAAATCAACTGACAAAACCTGCAAGTTGTTTTTGAGACGCTTGTTTAAATGGAGCGTCTAAAAATAGCTGTAATGAAGACTAAAAAAACCACTGTAATGAAGACTAAAAAACCCACAAAACTAGAAGTGTACAGCAAACCTGAAGGTTCTGAAATCAGCACGCTCTGCTTGAAGAAATACTTCTATGGACACATCATCAGCTTGCTTTTGAAGATAATTACCAGAGTAACTTTATTTCCAAGTGAGTTTTTGTGTGTGCTCCTGGGTGAGAGGTCTTTTTCTATAGCATCATGAAGGTTTCAGCTGTGGGCCTGCTCTGCTCTGGATGTTATAAAAGGATGTTTCTTTAGGGCAGAGTGGGTAGGATAGTTTGCCCTGTCTAGTTTTCAATGCCTTTGAAAAAATACTGAGCTGTAGGACAGGGAAACCTCTAAATTTCTACTTGGTGCTGTGGCTTTTTTCTGGGATTGTTGTCTGCGTGTTTAAGTGATTTAAAAAGTAGTTACATGAGTAAGGACTTGCCTGGATTGTGATACAGTAGATGGCCAATAGTAGCCATAATAAAAGTACTTTTATTACACCCATTGTAGATAAACACTTTTGCTTGGAGTAAAAACGGATTTAAAAGAAAATTGTTTGGATACCTGTGCACTGAGGAATATCTCTGGGGGTGGAGGGGGGAGAGGAGAAGGTACATCACAGCTGTCATTCAGATGGAACTCAAAGAAAAAGTACTCCAGGATGCCAGCAAAAACTGTTTAGCCTTTAAAAAAAAAAAGCAAAACTGAATTGAGTGGAAAATCCTTACTGATTATTTTTTTTTCTCTTAATCTTCTAGCTGATTGCAATGCTGTTCTTAAAGCTCTACAGCCCATTTTTCAGGAGCAGGGAATGACAGAAACAGTTCATAACTGGGAAGACCACGGTTATTTAGCAACCTATATAAAAAAAAATGGCAGGTGAGTGGATTTTGGTTTTTCTACCTATAGATGATGTCCCCTCTGACCTCCCTTACAGATATTTATTTCTCCCTGCATTGGATCTCCTGGTGTGCCAGCAGGGCAACGTCTTCTTTTACCAGACTTGTGTATGAAGGGACTAAAATAAAGCAGAATACTGTTGATAATCTTGTCTATGTCATCTTGCAGTTTGGCTATTGGAACAGTTGAATCAGTCAGTTTGGGCTGTATTGATGAGTAACACTGTATGGTATCTTGATCTTGGGGCCAGTCCTTCCAGATGCAGTTAAATGTATTTGTAATTCTTCTGGCAATTGGATATGTCTAAATATGTTCAAGTCTTACCTTAGCATGTGAATATTGACAACTTTCTGTCCTTGTCTTGTTGTATGTGCTTTTAAACACTTAATACGCTTCAAATTCTCAAGCAGCTACTGAAGTAACTAACAGCATGACAAAGGTGCTTGGTGTCATTGGTGACACTGACATAAGGATAAACTGGTAAGCAAAACCACATTCACTTTATCTTCTGAAGGTGCTTTACAGTGTCAGTTAGCTAATTACAGTATACATTTATCTGGCCTATTTATTAGTAACTACCATCATTTTATTGCACTTCATTTGTTTCCAGTTATACAATTATCTGTTCTTGACATCCATTGTGGCAGTTACTGCTTTTTTTTCTTTTTGAAATGTCTGCCTACTTTGGTGTTCTTCAGGGTTGGAGTTAAGCTAAATACACTTGAATATGTTGTCTGTCTTCTCTTCCTGGATGTCCTGTTAAGTAGCTCATTTGGCCACACTCCTAACATATGAGAATTGCCTAAGGATTTTTAAGTTCTCTCTGTAATGAGAGAGAACAGATACCTGTAGAACAAAAATCAGATTGTAGGTAAGTGTGTTGCTTGCTGAAATTTGTCTTCATATGTTTACTGTGTGTGAATATATTTGTATGTATTGGGGCCTGATTTAAGATAACAAGTAAGCTGGCATCTTATATCTTTCCCAATCATGCTCCATGAAGTTCTTGGTATATTTCAGGTAGCTTTTCAAATGTGACAGTGTCTTTTTCTGATAAAATTTACTTGGTTTTATACTTGATGTGCCTAGAAAAACTGGTTACTTGTCTCTTTGGTTTTGTACAGTCTTTTTTGTTCTGTCTTTAGTTACATGTGCTTTTATATTCTTCCTGAATAACTTGATCAAGATTCCAGTTCTGAATAACCTTTTGTTTCTGAGGCCAGTGAAAAGATAGCCACGTTGGTAACATACTACCCTGGTGCTTTCCTTCTTCTGTATTGGGTTAAGTTTTTATTTAGTTCTCCTAAAAAGGTAACATCAAGGATACCTAAACTCTGAACAATTAAAAGGTAAAATATCTAAAAGTAAAAAGGACTTAATCAAAGAAAGTCAACCTTCAATTCTTTTACATGGCCTCATCTTGCTTTCCTGTGTTTCCTTGAGTTTGAAGGTGACACGAGATGTTAATTCTTGAACTGGCTTTCCCCTCTGCAATCTCATCTGATCATTCCCCTTGAGAAGACAGCCTCTTCTAAAGGAGCAGTTTCTTAAGTTACCTGCCTTTTGACATGTTCCAGGAACTTTCTAGAAAACAGCCTTGTGTTGCATAACTTCTCCAGGAGATGACTGAACTGGTGTCCAGAAGCATCTCTGAGTAAGGTCCTCATAAAACTTTAAAATTTAAGGTATCTAACCTGATTTCTCTTACTACACTGTCAACTGAAAATACTTGTTGCTGCAAATTCCACTGTCTTCCTCAAGTGCTAGAGTATAACACTAATGAATGTTTGATGGGGGAAAAGAGGATGTAAATGTTGACATCTTTGTGTAGGAGAGGTGGGGAAGAATTTCTGGGAAAGACAAACCTGTGCACTGGTGTACAGTGTGCTTGCGGTATCAGAAAAAAGTTGGTCAAGCTGCCAGCTTTCATGGTAAAGCAGAGCCCCTGTAGGGATATCCTTGTTGCTCAGTGTATAGGCTTTGGAATTCAATGCATTGGAGAACTATAAATAAACAAACTCTACCTCTAGTGAGGTTTTTTGGTGCTTTTCAGAACTGTCCTCAAGTAGGTAGTGGAGGAAGGGAGGAGGAAGTAGGGAGAACAGGACTGTTCCCTGAAAGCCAGTGTGTAGAACATGAGCATTCATACTGACTTCTAAATGGGTTCTTTCCTGTGTGTTTATACTGTTGTTGATCTTGTGCTTTCCACCAGCATGACGCTAAATCATCCAGCTTTTCACTATGCTGCTAAATACAAGCTGAACTTTGCACCAGAGGATGGTTCACAGTATTCCTAGAGCTGTGAGAAGACGAAGATGGGGAGGTGGGCCTAGTGGCCTTCCTGCAGGGAAAGGAGGGAGGGTCTGTTATATTGGCTCTCAGTTCTAGATACCTCTTGCCACTGTGCAGTGCTCCAAGTAAAAGAGCTGGGGAGCAAGGGCAATTGCTCTGACATCTGTACTGCTGCGGACTGCCAGCTTGGTTCCTGGATTTCTTCTCTAGGGCTACACCAACAGTTTGTTAGGTGACAGGGTCTTGGGTTGGTTTGTTCCAAAGTCTTCTCCCAAAAGGCAGTGTTGGTGAGGCTGCGCAGTTTAGGCTGCTTCTGCTCTCACACAGTTGTATCAAGTAATCAAGTAGCCTTAGTTTTCTCACATTACCCTCACGCCATGCTCCAGTGCATGCAGTGCTTGTCAGCTTGATGTAAAATACTTCCCTGGTGACTGTGGCAGAGCCCTTGTGTCACTTAAGATGGTTTGATCTGGCAATTGGTGGGTTGAGAGAGAAACCTTGCTGCCTTGGGGCCACAGGGAGAGCTGGGGCTGAGTAGTGTAAGCATTGATGTGGCCTGCTGGTTCTCAGGGGATGTTCAGCTCCTTGAGCCCTCCAAGCTGAATGCAGCGAGTTGCATTGGATCAATGTCTTGCTTCACATCTGTTTAATAGCATCATATGCTAGACATCTGAGACAAGTGCTGTTCATCTTTTCAATTCACAGTGAGAAATATGATAGAATACTCAGGTTTTAAGGAAAAAGTGTGAACTTAAAAGATGCTCTGAATGCTGAGGCATCCAAGTAAGACAAATGGGCTTTTTACTATTGCAGCACCATTTTTTCCCATCCTGATTTGCATAGGCTGATAGACTTGCTCTGTCACTCTCCATTTGACATGGTTTTTAGCAGTCAGGTGTAGAAGTCTCCCCTTCTCCCTGAAACACGCAGGTGCTGCAACCTTGCTTTCTTTGTTCCCCCATGTGTACTGTGCTTCACTGTCTGGCTTGCTAATCCAACTGTGAATGGGCTCCCCAAGGGAAATGTGCTTAACTGTCAAAAAGTTTTAGTTGAGCTTGGTTTTAATATTGAATGACTGTCAGCTTAATATTAAGTTGTGTACAAGTGCTCTGAGTTCAAAATCACATTTGCTAATAAAGACTCTTAATCCTTATGAAATAAGTTCTCAAAGTTCTAATACAATACAGGCCTGGGAATAGTTGAGCTTCTAAGAGAAGCTATCCAGAAGAGCAGCTTAAACCTAATAAGGAGTTGCAGTTTGTGATGCAGCCTCAAAACTGAAGAATGAAGAACAAGAGTGCATAGAAGAGCTGAATATTGAGGAGATTGTTCACTTTGGCTATTTTTTTTCTGGTGAAGTGTTAAATGTAAATTAATAAAGTGGTTATTGCTCTCGGTATATTCATCGCCATCTGAATTGCAGTGCATGCTGGGTTTGTCTTCCCTGGAAATTATTCACCTTAGCTAGGCAACTTACTGACTGTAGCAGTGTTGGTTGAAGTACTTCTCTGTGCTTTGCCAGCCCCATTAAACACTGAATTGGGGAACAGTAGCATGTGGAGGAGAACTTTCTGTGAGTTTTGAAGCCTCAGCAGTTTTGGTTTCTTGCATCACTTGAAGAAACTTCATATACTTTTTTTAATGCACCTTAAATGACATATTTCTGTTAATGTCACTTGATGTAGTTTCAGTTAACTGAAACAAATAAGGGTCTGAACACTTAAACAATAGACTGGGCAGTTTAAAAAAAAAAAAACCCACAAACAACCTGCACAGAAACAAACATTTAATGAGTGGTAAGAATGAGTTGGTGAACACACAAAGGATTTAACATTAACTAAATAGGCTTTCTTTTAATACCAGCAATTTTATGTCTGTTTTATTTGAGGCCTAAAATACACGATTATTTTTTTTGTTAATTAAAAAACCTGACATAGCTAATTTCTTCCTAGTTAAGGCATGCAGACTCTTCCTTCCCTGTAGAACCAGTGTACTTCTGTAAATGAAGTAGCTTGTAGTAAGAAGCAGAAAAATTGTGATGGAGGGCTAGGTATGTCATGAGCAGTTCCCTCCAAGGATGGCTGGCTGTTACTGGGCACAAAATTTCCCCAGGACAAAAGATGCACGCATTGGTGCTCTATGTGAGTAGGGGTTTTGTGAGTATGCACATGCAAACACGTTTTTAACCAGCCAAAGGTGGTTGAGCCATTGCAAGACAAAGCTGTGCAGCTGATGTAACAACCTAGGTACTAATTCCAGGAGGGGAAAAAAGTTTGATATGAGATAGTAATACGTTGCTAAACAGTGTCTACACTCCAAAGTCACACTCCCCCTCCCCCCAGCCTGCAGGGTGCCCCATCTTATGGATTGTTGGACTGGGGGCACTGCTGTTGACAAAACTTTTGTCCCTGACAAAGGTACTGTGTGAACAGCCCTGTGGAGGGCTGCGGCTGTGAAACGAATTGGAGCTGATTTAGGGATTAAGCCATGCTTTCCTGTTGTCATTACCAAAGCAACAGATCCCTGTTCTCCTTTGTCTGAAGCTAAGCAAGCCAAAGTCAGATGTGGCAACTCTACCTGCTCCATTTACTGTGTGATTTACTCTGACAAAGGACCTAATTGAGGGAAGTTCAGCTGAAAACACTTACCAAAGGCGTTGTCAACACAAGGCTCTGGAACCGGGCAGG